TTCGGACCCCCCACCCGCCCCACCACTGTGTTTTCCTTACTTCGAATAAGGCACGCCTCTGGTCACCCCTACCGGAGAAACGCGATTTGGCACGCATACCCCCACGCACGGATAGGACCGAGGCCCTTCCCATGGGGTAATTCCCCCCCGGCGACTTGTAAAATAGTGCAGATGCGTAGGGAACCGGGGGATATCACGCGCTCAAAACGGGGTTGGATCGTGGACCAGGCCATGGACCGATTGTAGCATAGGTTGCTTTTGGTTTTGCCTTCTCTCCTTTTCATTTTAATTTTTTCTTTTTCTGTTTTATTCTTTTTTTCCTCTACTGAGTAGGAACCCTGGAATAAACGGATGGATGTGTGAGGAGGCTTTCATTGGAAGGCCACGATCTCCAATAGAGAGGGGGGGCTATATTAGGACCAGACGTAGGTAGGACTGCTCATAGGTCTACCGGGCAATAAGCGGTTCTGACAGGCGATAGGGTGTGGTGCGTTCTGGTTTTGCGGGTGCTTGGGTGAGGCGGAGCGCGACATGGACTTCTTCGACGACTGGGACCAGGTGGAGGAGCAGCCCGAGGTGGAAGAAGCGGTAAGGTCCCTGGCGTGAGGATTCTCTCGTCAATTTCCTGCTGCCCCGACCGGACCTCGACCACGCACCATGCAAGCGGACGCGACTTGCCCTGTGCTACCTGCCCCGCTCCCTCCGAACGCAATCACGCCAGCACTGGGCGCAAGCCTGGCCTTCCTCTTCCTCCTCACCTTACTCCCCAACCTAGCCATTGCCTGCATACTCACGGCCGCTTGCCTTTCTGAGAGAGTCTTCCTGTGCACTACCTCCAGGGGCTTCGAGCTGCTGATAGCTTGCACCGTCTGCTTCTTCTCCTTGTTCCTGGCCTGCTGCTGCTGCCTTTTCTTCACGATCGGAGCTGCTTACGGTTGGCGCGCGCTGGTTGAGTAGTGCACGGCAGGAGCGATGGAGTCGAGGAGCGCAACAGGGACTTCTCCGCACGTTTTTTTAGCCTTTCTTTCCTTCCTGTCCTTTCTGTCCTTTCTGTTCTTCATATACTCCCTCCCTTCTCCCCCGCCCCCCGGATGCTGTTCCCGCCTTCCCCCCTCCCTGGATTCCCCCTCCCCCGTCCTGTCCACTACCACCACCACCACCCACGTTCCCCCTCACCACACCCCCCCTTGCGCTTCCACGTTCCCTCCACCTTCCAAAGACCATGGAAGATGCTCCCCCTCCCCCCTCTGATGATGCCCCAGATGGCATGGGGCAGAAAAGCGCTTTAGGGATTTGCCATACCCTCCCTGCGATTCGACGAGATGGCCTGTGCGGAGGCAGGAGCACGATGGGCCTGGAGGATAGAGCTGAAGCAGGGTCTCTCCTTTTTTCCCCCCTTGTTTTTGCCCCCCCCGTTCCCCTTTCCCGCCCGCGCTCACCCACCTTTTTTTACCCCTTCCTGTCCCTGGCCGATCGGAGGGTTACGTCAATGTTTTTTGGCGGTGAGGAACTTTTTGGCAATGATCGTTTTGGAGACTTTATTGAATGTTGCAGTAATACGTGAAGTCTTTTTTTCTCTTCTTTTTTCGGATACTCGTGTTTTCTGAAGACCAGTAGTTGGAAAAGGTTTGGACTGGTGGCGTGCATGTATGGCCCGCTAAGGAATGCATGGGCAGTCTCGTTTCGATTTCGCTTTCGTTCTTCTCCTCTAATTTTTTTCCGCCTGGTGGTTACTCCGATTTTCTCGTCTCTCTTTCTCTCCATGATGGATGGTTTCGTACTCTCCCGTTATGGCTGTACTGTGCTTTCGGTTATTTGCTCGTGCATGATGAATGATCCCGTTTTTCTGCTACCGCACAATTTTTCCTTCCTCCCGTTACGGATCCTCTCTCCTATACCCTTCGCCTGGCTACCCTCTCTTCCGCCCTGTTCAGTAATCTCCCCCCTCGCTCATTGATGCAGAGGGCGAATAGCGCCGGTGGTAGTCATTGGCTTATTCGACAGGGGAACTGTGCTGAATCGAATATGTGAAGTTTGCATGTATTCTCCCCTTCTGAAGAAGCATTCTCCCCTCCTGCAGGCTTGACGTCTTCGTCCCCCGCCACATCCTCTCCCCACTCCATGAAAAACAAGGATGCATGGCATAGAGGAAGGACGTGTACAATCTCTCCATCTCTCTCTCTCCCTCTCGCCTTCTCTCACCCTCGCCTTATCTCTCCCCCCTATCGCTGGCCTCTGATCGGGATGATTATCTCACACATATTCGATACGCATCTACCTTTTCTTACAGATTGCATCTTTTCGTTCTTTATGATGAATGGTTGACCCTGCTGCATCCTGATCCTTGTTATTGACTCCCATACTTTGTCGTCTTGCTCCGGAAGGATTGATGCACAGGTAGTGATTATTTGCGTAATTGATGAATGGGTTTCCTATATGTATGAATGATGCTTGTAATCGTTCTTCTTGGAAAGGCAGGCCCTCGCCCGTTTCCCGAATCGTCCTGTGCCCATCTTGCGTGCCCACTTACTTTCGGCCAAAACGGCTTATTTCACCCCCGCTACGAAAAGACACACGATCTGGCTTTACCCTGCCGCGTTTGCTAATCGCCTCCGCGGCTTGCTTGTTGCCTGCGGTGGGCCGACATGGTCGGAGCAGTACGGGCATGACGAGTCGTACCCGTACGCATCTCATGTTACACACACATGTCACACACACACACACACACACACGCACACGCACACGCACACACACACAGGGACACGCACAGCGTCGCACACACAGAAGTGTAGAATAGACTCTCACACGAACCACCTACAGTGCACCGTACTGAAAGTTTATCACCGCCATACCCGGGTAGACTGTGAGGACCCCGGCCTCGTTTTTATCATTTGAAATATCATCCTTGGGCACTGGGCCCGTGTTCCAAAAAAAAAAAAAAAAAAAAAAAAGAGGGTGAGCATTTGCCCACCATATTTGCAACATGCAAACCTCCTTAATTTGGATGAGGCCCCATTAGTGTGTTCCCATAGATAGGGAATATCAGCTGCAGAGACCCAAGAAAACTTCCTCAATGCCGGACTGTGATGGTCCACCTGAGATTCGGCTAGCATGTGATTGGCATGCTTTGTGAGGATTATGAGGGTGTAGCCGATGCAAAGCTTTCATACATATGATGACAGTCAACATTGTACAACCTGACATGGCATGTCCTATTTGTAAACGGGCTGGAATGGCAATGCCCGCACAATTGTGGTTGGCGTGTCTGTATTCCAGCACGTGGGAGCCATGAAGTCTGTGACATATGTCTGCCTCGTGCCATTCGATGCAGAAACTGCAACTGCGAGAGTGGATGTGGTGCTTCAACAGGCCACACCCGAACTGGTCCTGTCCGGTCTGCAGGGGTGCCCACTTACCATAGGCAATGCCTCCTCCTCCACTGGATTTTCTCAGCAACCCAAACAGTAACTGGCCTCTTGTGCCATTTCATAGTTGTGTACTCTGGTGGTGAGTACTGGGAACCCTGTGAAGTCCGTCTTTCCTCCATCCTATTTCTTCATCCCTCCACTTCCCTCCTCTTCCCCTTCTCCCTCTTGTGTAGAACTTCTCCCTCCCCTCGTGTAGAATTCCTCCCTCCCCGTCCCCTTCTCCTTCCTCCTTCCCCTTGTGTAGCAGTAATAAATACATATGAATGAGCATCAACAAAATATATGGTGCGGCTGTGCTAAAAAATGAACAGGAGTGTACTTCCCCCGTTACTCTGCCTCCTTTTCGTAGCATGCAAGTGGGCCGTTATGAGGGCAGCTCGCGTTCAACCACATCAAAGCGTCGAGCCTTGTACATGAGAGGCACAATGAAAGGGGAGCTGCAAGAAGAAATAAAAAAGAGAAACCAAAAAAAAAAGCCAAACTAAGGGGGAAAAAAAGAACTGCCCAAGGCAATGCAACGGTTTCAGTGTGCATCATGTTGTCTTCTATAGAAGATTCTAAGGTAAAGCTGTTTCAACCTTGGATCTACTTATCTGGGCAGAAAAGCGGTTGTCGTGGTGACAGATACAACACACACACACACACACACACACACACACACACACACACACACACACACACACACACACACACACACACACACACACACACACACACAC